TGCTCCTCTGATGCTGCCTGGCCTGCTGTGTTCTTCCAGCCCTACACCAAGTTATCTCAGACTCCAACATCGGCAGTTCCTACTATCTCCAATGGTGAAACAATGATGTGTCCTGTTTCTGTACTGTAATGGCTATCATGTTTGTCTCACACAGTCAAATAAAGCTAGTGGAAATACACAAGAGGATTAGAGCCCTGGGATGTGAGTGAAACTTGAGGAAATTACCAAGGTAGAGAATGGAAAGATCTTGAATTGATTTAACCTCACAAAGATAAGGATTTAATATTTTGGGCATTGCAAAGTTCAAGAGTAGAGTCATACAGCATACAGACAAAACTTTAGGTGAGCTGAAGTTTATGCAGTTTGGAGGATGAGAGATTAACCAATAAAACTTTGAAGCACCAGAGTCCGTAAGTGTCAAATAGCTGGGCGACAACTGTACATTCCAAATATGACCTCCATGTCTTCAGATGATATTGTAAAAAGCATCATTGTGTTGATGAGAAAGAGGTTGAGGCCAGGTATGCATCTTTGAGAAGCAAAATCATGAAGGGGTGGGAAAAGAATACATTGATAATGATGTTCCAGCTATATCTGGATAGGTGAGAGGAGTCAAGCAAAGACAGTTTCACTGAACTAGACAATGAATAAAGGATAAATGTTGGCAGAGGTGGTGTGATGAATTAAGAGAAGAAATGGGCAACGCGGAAAAATGCACCAAAATCACAGACACAAAAAGAGCATCATTTGTAACAAAGGCTGTTTTAGTAGCGTAACAAGGATAGAAACAAGACTGAAACAACAAACTTCACAGATCTCCGAGACAGCAACACATTTAAGGACTTTGGAACAAGGAAAGAAGACTGAAGAATGAAAATTGATTTATGGACAGATATCAAGCTTGGACTTTTTGAAGAGTGGAAATCTTGCAAGATGGCCAGAGCGAAATTAGGCGTGGAGCAGTTTTGTGGAAATGGGACTATGGGACTATGGGACTCGGTAGTGGGCTACATTGGTCAGATGAAATTTGAGATGCCATGAGGAAATAGACAATTCCAAAGATTTACAACCCTCTGAGTAAAAACGTTTTCTTCATTTCAGTCCAAAGTGACATTCTCCATTGTTTTTAAATTACGCTCCCTGGCTCTAGGCTTCTCAACAAGGGGAAACTTCATATCTGCTTCTACCCTGTTTATCTCCAAGTATTTTGCAAGTTTTAAATTTTGGAAATTTTAGTGAAAAAAAGCCATGGACTGTTTGCACTTGCTTTGAAATTAACAGTTGATAAGACGGCATAGAAAGATTTAACCAAATAGAATCTATTGGTTCAAAATTTCAACAGGAAATTAAAAGCAGAATTCCCACCCCTAATCAAGGTCCAGAGATTGTTGGGATGCTAAACATCTGGCCATGATATCACATACTGGCCACCAGATTAGTACAATAGTGCTGACCAAAAGTATCGGATATCGTACATTCAATTCTAGGAGAAAATAGCACCCTTAGGAGAGAAAACTGGCAAGGAATTCAAAGAAAGTTACACACACTTCAATACTGTTTTTATAAATAACTCAAATTAATTGTATTTCCATTCCGAAGACTCAAAAAATTGTTCATTATAAGCCTGTGCACGTTTAAACAGGGACACTGCGAAAATCATTGCCTTTAACTGATCCCAGAAAAATCTTGTAATGCATCCAAGTCTTAAAGCAAACTCATACTGTACCCTCACACCAGGTGGCAATAATAACACAACTAGTAACAATCCTGAAATTCTCACTCAGAGATAGTAAGAACTGCCGATACTGGAGTCAGAGATAACAGAGTGGATCTGGAGTAACACAGCAGGCCAGGCAGCATCAGAGGAGCAGGAAAGTCGACATTTCGGATTGGGTCCCTTCTTCAGAAGAAGTGTAGAAGGGTAAATAGAGTAGAATCAATATCAGTATCATGTGTTGAATTATGATACATTATATTTGGAAAATTGGATTTAAAATGAAGGCAGATGAACGTGGTTAGGTTTAGGGTTCTCTAAAAGGTAATTTATTTTTTAAAAAATCAGGTCAGAAACTCCTTTGAAACAGTAACCTCAGTGCATCAATTGAAAAGAAGCATGTTACTGCAGTCAATTGCCTGGCATGACTCCTGTAGTGTTAAGTGGACAAAACATTTTATTCTGTTGGATTTTCAACAGACCAGAAAGCCATTGGTGTTGGCTTTTGGGATTAGTTCCAAAAATCTCTCCCAGCAGGAGAATCAAGCTTTTAGTTCACAGAAACCAGTCATGCTAGCTTCAGTTTGTGGGACCTCCAAGCCAGGACAGTTTGGATAGAAATCTTAAGGTTCATCACAGCTGTAAAGTTTCATGCCAGATAACTCTGATAAGAATCTTAAAACCATTCACACATCCAAGGGAAAGAAACGAGGAAGAGTCAATTAAGTAAAAACAGGAGTTGAAACAGAAATGAAATTTCTCTGGAATTGAGTATCTGAAAAAGGAGTAAAAACCGAAAGAACTGCAGATGCTGAAAAAGGAGTGTTGGGAAACAAGTTGAAACTTTGTTTTGCACTGTTTAGATCTTTCTAACTGCATGTCCATATATATGGCTGTTTGATTATTTTTCTTTTTACATATAAACTTATGTTCTGCTGTGAAAGAACATCTGCAACCTCACATGACTTTTCAGTGATTAAGTGTCATGGTAACAAGCTGTAAAAGTTAAACTTATGATCTATCAAGCCTGATTTCATTCTGGAGTCTGACTTGTCCAGTATTACCATCAGCTGAGACCTGATGTCTCATCACGTCAACCATTTTAAGGAAATTCTTTGAAATAGTAATATGCACTATGGATAATTTGGAACAAATGGGTATTTGAATTTGTAGAAGGCATTTGTTAAGGCACCACATGAAACGTTATGGCAGAAAATAAAAGCTCATTATTTAGGGAGCTAATATATTGACACAGGAAATTAGCTAGAAAAGAAATGGACATAAATGGGTGAAATAAAGATGAAATAAAACGTCCCGGGATCAGTGCCGAGATCTCGACGATTGACAAATTGGATGAATGGACCAAAGATCTGGTTGTTTAAACTCTATTTAAAGGAAGGACCCAAATGTGTTACAGGCAGTTTAGAGAGGTTTACTGAACTAACACATGGAACAGGTAAATTGTCTCATGAGGGAAGATTAGACAGAGTCAACTGGTATACGTTGGAGACAAGAGTAATGGATGCCTTGATTGAAAATATACAAGATCCTGAGGAGTCTTGACAAGGTAACAATGGCAAGGATACACAAGAACATAAGAAAGAGTGTTAGGAGTAGGACGTTCACCTTTGAGTTTGCACCACCAATCTACGAGATCATGGTGGAGGAGGTGTCCTAGGCCTCAACTCTTCTTTTATGCCAGCATAACCGTCAACTCATTAATATTTTTAAAATATATATACACCTCCTCTTTAAATACTTTGTGATCTAGCCTCCGTAACTCTCCAGTTTAGAGATTTCCAGAATTTCACTATCCTCATGGATGAAATTCCTTCACATCTCAGTTTTTAAACAAACACCCCCTTATTCTGTAACTATGTCCCCAAGTTTAGTTGAAACACCACAATATCTATCCTATGTGTTTCAATAAGACCATTCCTCATTCTTCTCAGCAATAAGGAATATAGGCTTGACCTGTTTAGCTGTGATTGATAAGTAAACCCCCTCATCCCAGGAAGCAGCCTGGTAAATCTCTTTTGAACTGCCTTCAATTTCTGCACATTCTTTTCCTTTTCAAAAAAAAAAAATACAGGGACCAAAATTATATACAGTACTTCAGTTGCTAACATTTTGCCTTTCATGCACAAGAATACCCAGATCTGTCTATCCTACACATTTTTGCAGTCTGTCTCCATCTAAACAGTAGTCTCCTTTTGATTCTTCCTCCCAAAGTGCATGACCTCACACTTTAAAGTAAACTCCATCTGCCAAGTTTTTGCCCACTGACTCAACCTACCTATAAACCTTTGTAGATTTGTTATGTCCTCATCACAATATGCTCTGCCACCTTTTTCTCCCCACTATCAGCAGCAAATTTGGATGGATTACGTTCGGCTTCCCCTCCTAGGTGATTTTCCCTAAATCAGAGAACATATAACTTGGGTCACTGTTTGACAATACAATCTCCCCATTTAAATAAATTTCTTCCTGTCAGAAGGATGAGTCATTGGAACTCTATTCATCAAAAGGCAACATGTGAATTTGAATTTGTCCATTTGAATTTTTTAAGGTGCAGATAGATTCTCAATTAGCAAAGAGGGTGAAAGGTTATCGGAGGTAAACAGAAATATGGAGTTGAGATTAAAATTAGCTCAGCAATTATAAGTGGCAGAGCAGGCTTGAAGGGCCAAGTGGCCTATTCCTACTCCGAATTTTTATGAAAGGCAAACACTTACTTCCTCTCTCAACAACTGCTCCAATTGTGAAGAACTTCCCTCGGTTTCTGAATCCATGGCTGCAACCTGAAGCTTCCATGAAATCCAGCAAGAGTTCAAGGATACTTTCACATTTTCTATTCACACCATTTGAGACTAAACTCAAATACCCACTGTGTCTCAATACTTTCAGGGCCTGACTCTGAAAAAGATCAAAACTGCACCCAAACCTGCATTCATAAAACACCTTACAAATGAAAAAGTCACAAATTCCTTTATCAAGCATGAGAAATGGGCACAGATAGCTAAGAGATGCAAAAAGAAGTTTTTATTGCCCATAACGAAGCAAAGTGAGAATGGGAAGCACAAGCCATCTTTTTTTAAAATATTTGGCCAAGATGTTAATTGACTCAGATACCTAAAAAAGTAACGAAACTGCCAGTGTGTCAAAAAAAGAAATTGACAAACTGTGCTCGAGGCTCACCACCTCCCTTACAACATGCCAATCTCACAAGGAACTTAGTGAAATAAACTCAATAACTTATAAAACACCCAAAATAGTTAACCAACATCTTTGCTACATGAATATAATAGTATCCACAAGATGACGGCCACTTCAACATGAAGAAGGAATAAATACCAGGATAGCTGACAATTCTTAATAAGGAACCGAGAACAACATACTCACCCCCATAGTCAAATGGTGTGAGCTAGCTCAAGATAATGTACAAGAGCTTTCCAGATCTCTCAGATGTTCTAACAATTCAGTTCCTCTCTGATTAAGGAAGAAATGACTGGTGTTGATGCATTAATACTTATTTACTAACTTTCTGGCTTTTCTATTCCGGAAAGCTTAAAAAAAAAATCAAAGATCGCAGTTTGCAAATCCAACTGTAGAATGCAAGTGGAACTTCCCTATGAACTCGGGCTACAGCAACTGCTTTAGTTCTGTGACAAAGAGGAGGTTCGACCCACGGGTAGAGCAATGGGTCTCAAATTCAGCAAGGCGGAACAGGAACTGAACACTATGCAAATCTAACCTACATCAGCTGTTCAGGCAACCGAGCCAATCAGCCTCAAAGAGAGTCTGATTTTCTGCAGTAAAATATACTTTCATATGCATGTTTGGTCTGGAGCTGTGAACACAAGGAATAGGCACCAATTTTCTTTCAATTATGAATGAGTAGGACTGTCCACCTAGGAAATTCTGTGTCACTGAGTTCTATGTTTCCTGGTATGGCAGATGTTTTCAAAAGATGGAATTAGTCCTTGAATTGAAGATGGCTGGCATTCCTTGTTGAATTCCTCTAGGTGGATACTTTGTGCAGGACATCTTTTAAGATGGGAATGCTGTTGAACATCAGTGGACACACAATTGTTGCCAGAAGGCAGATCCAACTCCCATACCAAGGGAATCACGACAATAGGCGATCTTCCTACTTCAATCACTGCAATAGCCATTGATATCACATGAATAGCTTCCGTCTGAATCACCATTGAGGACCTGTTCGGATCGCATTTTGTCTGGTTCACGTACTGCAACCTACCATCATCGGTGACCCCATCAGGGTTACCATAAATTCTTTCCGTGGAGGAGAGGCTTGAGCGTTCTATTGATCCCATGGGCAATGCTGTCAGGAGCTCCCAATGCGAGTACAACTGTAGTGACAAACTCAAAAGATGCAAATGCTGTCTCCTGTGTACTGGCCAAGATTTCTGTTCACAAATTGCGAAAAATACAACCAATGGTGCAAAAGCACCACAGCTTCCAGCAGGCTCACCTACAACATTCAAAATCTGCCATTCACTGTTCCAGAGAACACACTGATAGTTCTGCCATTCCTATTTTAAAGCAATAAACACTTCCAATTTAAAAACACTGCTCGTTTTGCCTCACCTTTTATAGATTTTCTATGCTAAAGGATAGGGCTACTAATGGGGGACTACAAATGCTTTCTCATTAGTTCTCCTAGCATTTCACTCTTCTTCAGGGGCAGGAATTTAAACCCAAGTCGATGGAAGGGGTGCAAGTGCTGCATTTGCAATGAAGGTTGGGTTTGCAGACTTTGAGATCTTTATAATTTCTCAGCATTCAAGAATAGAAAGGCCCGAAAGTTAGAAAGTCGGCAATAATGCTTCACCACCAGTCACTTCTTCCTTGATGAGAGAGGAATTGAATTTTCTTCAGCTCATGTTTTTTTTTTGCCATATCCCATGCTTGAAGTTCTCACTACTTATGTCAATGTGAAGATTTACTACAGCAAGACGAAATTTTCACTGCAGCCCAGAGAGAAATAGGATTTTGTTTTCTGGGCAGTCACCAGGGGACAGAGTTTACAGGAAAATCTGGGTGACCATGGACTAACCCTGTTCCATGATTTTTCAAAATCTCTTATTTATTCTCCTAAATACAAAAGCAAGAACATTTTAAGAAAAAATTAACATAGAAATTCTACCTACAAGATATGTTTGCTCATCTCCATGTCCAAGTCGACCGCCTTGGCCATGGCCACAGGTGTACACATGGCCTTTTTGGGAAAGGAACACTGAATGAAACTTGCAAAGCACAACCTGAAAAACAAGGAAGTCAAGTGTGTTATTTAAGATTTAAGTACAGGCTAATTACTTTACTCACTGCTCCCACTTATACACTTGAGTAATAGCTATCTAAATTGTAAGCATAGAAAATAGGGGTAGGCCATTCAGCCCTTTGAGTCTGCTTCACTATTCAATATGATCATGGCTGATCATCCAACTTAGTAAGCCACTCCTGCTTTCTCCCCATATCTTTTGATCCTTTTAGAACCAAGTACTGTATCTACCTCCTTCTTGAAAACATTCAATATTTTAGCTTCACCGCTTTGTGATAGAAAACTCCACAGGGTCATCCTTTCTGGGTGAAGAAACTTTTCCTTCATCTCAGTCCTAAATGGCCTACACTGTAACCTTAAACTGTGAACTGTACAGAATTCAGTCTCCAGAAGTAATATTAAAAAGTAATTTCTGGTTCCAAACACAGTAACAAGATAATAGAACATAAAAAAAACACAGCACAGGAACGTGCCCTTCAGCCCACCATCTCTATTCCATGATGCCATTCTAAACTAATTCCATTTGCTTGCACATGATCCCTCCATTCCCTGCCTGTTCATGTCTTTTTAAATGCCTCTTAAACATTGCTATCATATCTGCTTCTACCACTTCACCAGCACTGCATTCCAGGCACCTACCGCCCTCTGTAAAACAGACTCTGACATTTACTGACGTAATCTAACTGGTCTGCAATTCACTGTTTTTTCTACTTCCTTTTTTTTTTAAAAAAGATAGTGGGAATATATTTGCTGTCTAATCCATATGAACTCCTCCAGAGTCTACAGAAGTTTGGAAAATGACCACTAATGCACCTAATATTTCCAGGGCCACTTTCTTTAATACCCTGGGATGTACATTATCAGGCTGTCGTGAATTGTCAGGCTTTAGTATTTATATAAATGATTCTGAGATGGTGTTGAGGGCAAAATCTCTAAATTTGCTGATGATACTAAGCTAGGGAGAATAGCGAATTATGAGGATGACACGGAGCGACTGTCATCAGAAACAGTTTCAAATTTAACTTAATTATTGCTTTTCCAAATATAAATACCCTTAACATGATTCGTTTGTTCACGTTGCAAGCAAGTCAAATCAATCTAGACCAGATTTATTGCTCATTTCCAATTGACCAGCAGAAGGTGGTGGGGAGCTGTCTTCTTTGAATCACTACAATCCGTGTAACAAAGGTTCATTCACAGTGCTATTAGGAAGGGACTTCCAGGATCTTCACCCAGGGGCAGGGAAGGAACAGTGACATAGTTCCAAGTCAGGATGGCGTGCACCATTCAGGAGAATGTGCACGTAGTGATGTTCCTACGCATCTGCTGCCCTGGTCCTTCCCATTAATAGATGGCACAGGTTCCGAAGGTTCCAGTTAAAGAGCCTTGGTAAATTGCAGCAGTGCATCTTGTATACGGTACACACTGCTGTCATTGTGTGGCTATGTTGGAAGAATTGAGTTGGGTGGGAGGGGGAACTGTGACAAGGATGCAGAGATCCCTCAGCATGATCTGGACAGGTTGGGGGAAGTGGGCAAATCAACGGCAGATGCAGTATAACTTGGATAAAAATGAGGTTATTCACTTTGGAAGCAAAAACAAGAAGGAAAATTACTACCTGAATGACTGTAAATTGGGAGAGGGGCAGTGTGCAATGGTACCTGGGTGTCCTTGTGCGCCAGTTGAAGAAGCATGCAGGTGCAGCAGGTGGTAAGAAGGCAAATTGTATGTTGGCCTTCATTGTGAGAGGTTGCGAGTACAAGAGCAAGAATGTGTTGTTACAGTTATACAGGGCCTTGGTGAGGCCACACCTAGAATATTGCGTGCAGTTTTGGTCTTCTTTTCGGAGGAAGGATGCTCTTGCTCTCAAGGGAGCGCAGCGAAGGTTTACCAAGCTGATTCTGGGGATGGCAGGACTGACGTATGAAGACAGATTGACTAGGTTAGGATTGTTTTCACTAGAGTTCAGACGAATAAGGGGAGATCTCGTAGAGGCTTATAAAATTCTAACAGGACTAGACAGGGGAGATGCAGGGAGGATGTTCCCAATGGTGGGTGTGTCCAGAACCAGGGGTCACAGTCTGAGAATTCAGGATAGACCATTTTAGGACAGAGAGGAGAAGACATTTCTTCAGCCAAAAAAAAAGTGATGAGTCTGTGGGAATTCATTACCACAGGAAGTAGTTGATGCCAAAACATGGAATGTATTCAAGAGGCAGCTGGATATAGCACTTGGGGCGAATGGGATCAAAGATTATGGGGAGAAAGCAAGATTAGGCTATTGAATTGGACGATTGGATGTGATCTTGATGAATGGCGGAGCAGGCTCGAAGGGCCAAATGGCCTTCTCCTGCTCCTAACCTCTGTTTCTATGTTAAGGTGGTAAATAGGGTGTGAATCAAGTGTGCTGCACGGTTCTGGATGGTCTTGAACTTTGAGAGCTGGTGGAGAGTAATTACATGGCTAGTGCAGTTAGGTTTCTTTTCCCAGATTCATTCAACAGAGATGGATTGCATCAACTAGACCAGCAGTCACTGACCATCCCTAATTGCCCTCCCAAAAATGACGGCAAGCCACCTTCTTTAACTGCTGTAACCCACAGTTGGGAGGGGTAGGCTCACCTACAGTGCCATTAGGAACAGAGTTCCAAGACTTACGGATATTGATAGCGAGAGGTTCAGAACAGATTTACATCAAATCAGTGACATGGAAACACTATCACTTAGGTTCACTTCCAACTCACACTCAGAACTATATCACCATTCCTTCAGCGTCACTGGATCAATATCATGGGACTCCCTCCCTAACAGTACTGTGGGAATACCTAAACCACTGAGACAATGGCAGTTTAAAGGTAGCTCATCATCATCATCTTAAGGACAAGACCTCACAACCTATGAATGAATTATTATTATTATTATTATTATTTAAATTATTGACAGCAGTTTATTTGGCTGTTCAAAACACACACTGCAATTTAAAACAGTAAAATCAATAAATCAGCAACTTCCTCCACACACACCCCACCATAATGCTCTGGTCTGACTGATGGCATGCACCATAATGTCCAAATTATGTTAACATTATTTCCTTTTACACCACTCAGCAGCATTACTATCGATTGCGTACATTCCACAATTAGGATTTAAGTAGTCTGAATTGTTTGTTTGCCAAATTGTATGAAGTGACACAGTAGTTGCAGTATTTTTAATATAATTGGTCAGAAACAAAGTCAACACAATGTATTGACCACTGGTGCAAGAAAAGTTATAAATACTTGCGTTTATTGAAAGAGGGAAATTTTAGAGATTGTAATCCTGTGGCTCACAGGACATTTGTTCTGATTTGGAGTAAAACCAAAATAGTGAAGCACTGGTTGTGCAATTTCTTCAATAGTTAGAATCTCATCCCTGAAATACAGCACCAGAAAGATTCTTCAGATTGAGTTTAACATTAAATCAGTTTGAAAGAAACAGTTACATCCACGCAGCACCTGTCTCAGATTGTCTCCGTGTGCTCTGAAGTACTTCAGTGACAATGAATTGCTTTGAATTGTAATTATTGCTGCTTTGTGAACAAATGCAGTAGCCACTCTGTACAGAATAATCTGCACACAGCAAAATTCTATCAATGATCAGTGAAGAGTTTTCATTGTTGAGAAAGATACGTTAGAATAAGGAGATCCCCTGTTGGTTATGCTTCGAGTAGTGCTTTGGGGACTTTAGCATCTGTCCAAAGAGACAGGTAGGGCTGTCTGAACATTTTATCCAAAAAAGGTTATACTTATGAAAATAGTCTGATGCATCCACCTACCTTAATTGCTCAGGTCCTGAAGTTGAAAGTTAACCCATAAACCTCGAACTTAGAGGCAAGAGCACTACCAAGTGGAGACAAACAGGCACAGCCACAATGTAATTATCAAAAACAAAATTGTTAACTATCTGCTGAGCATCCTGCTATTCCGCATAAGAGATTCTAAAAAAGATGTTGACCGTAGTAAAGTTTTTGTACCTCCTTGATGTAGATCCCTGACCTGGAGAAGTAGTCCACAAGCTCAGGATGATGCTTGCTTTGTTGGCTTCCATGACCAAGGGTAAAATTAGTGTTGTTACCCCAGGTATAGACTTCAGTGGGATCTGGAAAATAAATCTGAATATACATGTCAAAAATTCAAAAGCCATTGAACCACATAAAAGTGGAAAGTTGCTGAGCCATATAGTTAATATATTTATTACAGGAAATGCAACTTGCGGCAGACTAATGGAAATAAATCAAAAATTTCTGCAACGTTAGAACTCTAAACAAACAGAGTTAGAGAATCATACACATCTTTGGTTAAATATCTTTTATGGTGCTTTTAGAATGTTTTGCCAATCCTGTTAAATTGCTAAATGTCATAACTAGCCAAGAGGAAAAGCAGATGGCCTATTTCCAACATCTGCTAATGCCAACTGAAGGTCACCATATCCTTTATTTCCTTCCTCCAAGAAACCATCTCATGTCATCAGCATCTCCCCAGTCTTTGCTAGACTTTCAACGAAACTAGTCACAAAGCAAATCATGACCTTCACATCGTAAATCACTGGCAAAGAACGTCAAGTTGCATTTTTACACTAGCCATGGGTTTGCTATGTTGGTGGCATAAGAAGTACAAATTTATTTTTAAGATGTAATTAACCACTGCTCTAATTCTGTTAGCATCTGCAGCAGATAACTAGTATTGCATATACTGAATTTCACAAAAGGCTCTTGTGGCACAGTGGTAGCATCCCTTCCACTAGGACAGGAGACCCAGCTTCAAGTCCCACCTGCTCCAGTGGTGCAGTATGACATCTCTGAACAGGTTGGTTAGAAAATATAGACTGACGATTTCAGGCATCTAGTTAAAATTAACCTTTAGAACTCAGCCATATTACTCATAACTGACACTGAAGAGATTATGCAAGTATTTTAAAATAAACAAATAAAACAATAATTCAATGTTTACTTTATTTTAAAACGTTAAGTCACTATACCCAAAGATTGAGAAAGAAGAGATAATTATACCAGTCTTTCTATAAACCACATGTGATGGTCTATCTTTCATGGCCAGGTCTAGTGTAGATAAGCCTTCTTTATCTTGTACATGGAGACTACTCCCATGCTGCAATAAGAGAGTAAAAAGGACAGACCAGAAACCATTAACATTGCATATTTTAAAAGCAGGAGACAAGCAAATTTATTTTAATGTACAATGAAACTGAAATCAGAGACAAAAGTCAGTGAAGTTTTAAAAATGTTTTAAGAGTACTAAATGTAACTTCAAACCTTGCTACAATTATAGCAACTAGATCATAGAAAGGAGTCTTACAACTAGAATTAGTTTTAATTGGGTTATAGTCACATCATCCCACCCTTTCCCCATATCTTTTTGCAAACATTCTTTATACCAATCCAATTTTTTTTTGGGTGACTTTCAGTCTATGCCTCTACAGTAATTTGCCGTGAAACAATTGGTGATCCAATTGTTGTGTGTCTGAAAACAATTTGTTTCCAATTACTAATCTAAGTCATATCTCTTTGCGATTGTTTGTGAAAGCAACAATTCACCATTATTCCCACAAAACCTTGCGTTCTTTTGGAAAATATTCACAAAGGTCCAATAGAATTCGCTAATTTTAAAACATTTCTTCACAGCCATAACCCCATATTCGTGCTAGGATTCTCACAATTCACTCTGGCGTTTTTTAAAAAAAAGGTATAGAAATAGAAGTCCATTTTGGGATATAATGTGCTAACTGTAGATTAAATAGTGGCTTATAACCAATATATTACTTCTGCGATTTAGTGTTCAAGACCTCATATAAAACCTTGTTTTTATGTCTTTTTCTGCAGGTTGAAAATCTGTATCCAGACCACCCAAACTCTACAGAACTTTAAAAAATTCCTAAAGACATGGACGGACACTGTAATGCAGAAAGACTGTTTTCCTTGCTGGTGGGGATCAGAACCAAGGGATATGTTCGCAGAATAAAAGAGAACTCATTCAGTATTGAGATGAGAATGAACTTCTTCACTCAGAAGGTGGTGAATCTTTGGAAACTCTCTACCCAAGAGGGTTGTGGATGCTGAGCCATTAAGTAAGTTCAAAACAGAGATTGATGATTTCATTATTGACAAGAAACCAAAGATAAGTGGAATAGCACATCGAGGTAGATGATCAGCCATGATTGAGGACGGCAGAGTAAGCTTGAGTAGCTGAATGACCTACTCCTATGATCCAATGCTCTCAGACTTTCTATTGCCCCAGACAATTTAACTATTTATCATATTCATTCCTCCCATTTTTCAAAAATAAAATGAACTTCTCATTTAATCGCATTTTCCCAACACTAGTCTGGTAACCCATTCAGAGACACATGAATTCTGGCTCCTACTTACTAAATTACCTATAATAAAAGCAAAATGTTACAGACACTTGAAATCGAAAACAAACAGAAAATTCTGAAGAAACTTAGCAGCTCTGGCAACATCTGTGAAGTGAGAAACAGAACCAATGTTTAGTCCAATATGACTCTTCTTCAGAAATAAGCACTGTTTTGAAAAGTCATCATATCGAACTTGAGACATTAACCAAATTGCCGAAGTTGGTCATGTCAGCAAATTTCAAATAATACTCCTACGTCAATGTCCTATACGCAATCAAAAAAAGTGCTGCGCTGACCATCAATTATATCCCTAAAAGTAAAGATTATCCTTTCACATCTACTCTATGCTTTTACTCGCTGAAGGATCTGTCAATCTATGTACACCTGTTACAAAAATCAAGGCTTTTGTGCTTTCTGAAAATAGTTAATGATGGTTTGACAGTGGTAGACAATGAAGAAATCTTATGACTCTCTTCCAATTTGAGAGAGATTGCAGGATCTCAAAAAAAATGCACAATGCTGCCCCCTCAGCAACATTTCTTCATGGCTCCACATATGGTGATAACACTGGTCTACATCGATAACTCTTGACAACCACTTGTCTCCAAGCTGTTAAATCTCTTCCTGACATACGCTACTGGATGAGCAGAAATTTCTACCAACTGAATATTCCACCACACCCCCACCCTTCCCTTCACTGGTAACCGTATCTGCGGTTGCCAAAGCCCCAGTTTTGGAAGTTCTTCCCTAAACTTCTCCATCACCCTTTCCTCTTTAAGAGGCTCTTTAAACCATACCCCTTTCCCTCAAGCTTTTGGTCATCTGATTAATATTTCAAGTGGCTGAGTGTCACATTTTGTTTGATAAAGTTCCTATGAAGCACTTTCAGATGCTTTATCATATTAAAGGATAACTTGCCATTGTCCTAAACTTAATTTTGGTGAGTAATATTTTCCAACTAATGTCATTAGACACCAGATTGAGACGAGGATTTACATTTCCTAGATCTGCTGGGAGATGTCTTTCTTCCAAACAACATAGTACAGAAACAGAAGTTGCTGGAAAAGCTCAGCAGGTCTGGCAGCATCTGTGAAGAAAAATCAGAGTTAATGTTTCGGGTCTGGTGACCCTTCCTCAGAACTCAAAAACCTATTATTATAGTATATTACAAAAACTGGTAAAAGGAGTTTTTCCTTCCTCGAAGATCCAGATACATCTAGGATATTGGCACAACTACAGACCTGTTGCAACAAGACTAATTGGACTATTAATACATGTGCAAACATAACAAAATAGTACCTTGAGAAGAAACATAGCGCAATCAATGTGTCCATAGAAGATGCTTCTGTGCAGAGCTGTCCATCCAGATTCCTTATCTTTCACTGAAGGGTCAGCCCCTTTCTTTTCAAGGAGCCAATCCAAAACAGATGTTTTGCCACAAGATGCAGCCATGTGTAGAACCGTTCTGCCAAAGCTATCCTTCAGGGAAGCTGCATTGTAGCAATACGATGAAAGGAAGGCTTTATTCTGACATTCAGTTCCCTTGGTCATCACCGAAATCACGTCAAGGGCATGCTGGAGAGAGCGGCACTTTGGAGTGCAGTCTGCTGTCACAGAATTCATCCTGCGCGCACTTCCAGGTCTTCAAAAAAGCCTTAAATTCCAGTGAAGGCTATGGAACTTAACTGCCTGGTAAATGTACTAATCAAGGCGCTAGATTTGTGCTGGTGTTATAAAAACACTGCACTCTAGCAATCTTCTATCCTTCGTTACATTAGTTCAATTCATGACAGCAGTGCTGGTTTAGCAAGAGGAATAATCCTCTAAAGGTATAAAATACTATCTATAATATATGGCACTTTATTGCTATTAAATAGACAAAAATAGAAATTTAATTGTAATATTTTTATGGAAAATAAAAACTTCTGTAAGTTTCCAGTCAAAATATAACCACACTCTCCTGAATGTCATTCCTCTGTAGTCAGCCACCAGAGGGGAAGGGAAGCTCCCCACAACTCCTTTCTTGCTTAAGCCTCCATAATTGTAAGTGCCACCTGTAAAAGTAAATTAAAAAAAAATACACATCAATACTTACACGAGCTATAATATTTCAACCTGGCTGATATACTAGACAAATTCCTAGCTTACCAACTAATTTTCAGTTCTAAGAGTTAGGATGACTCATTCTTAAGTGAGTTTCTAAAAAGTAAGTTGATATATATAGGCAAATATAAGCAGAAAACACTGAAAACGTTTGGTACATTAAAACCATTACAGTGGAACGGAATAAAACAAAAGCTCAGTGGTCCAATGTACAGAATTTCCATGTAATTTGCTGAACAAATACTGGAAACTGACAAGAAAAAGCTGAAATAAAAACAAGAGGGATCAGAAACACTCACCAAATTGGCAACATGTACACAGGGAGAAACATAATTAAAGTTTCATATGACTTCTCGAAATTTCAAATTTATCTTCACGGACACAAGCTGCCAGGCCTGCTGGGCGTTTTTCTATCCAGAAATGCTGCCACCGCTGTGTATTTCCAGCATTTTCTACTTTTGTTTCAGATTGAGCATTTGTATTTTGCTTTTTGATAAGAATCGGCAACTATGGCTACTGCGCCCATTCAATATGATGACATTCTGAATGAACCAAGAACCTTCCCAAAAATAGAATAACATTGGAACCAACCTTTTTTCTTCTTTTTACACAGAGCATAAAACATTAGAGTGTTTGGAAGACTGACCTAATCTTTCATTCTGTTTGTAAGTCACAAATCACAAAAGTACTGCTCTCAGATTATTCTTATCATTCAATGCTATCTTTAATGGGTATCTTCATTTAAAATATAAAAAAGATTCTGTCCAAAGGTATGCGATATAAATAGAAACTAATTTTAAAAAGAAAAACTGCATGCAAGAAAATATAACTGTACAAGAGAAATTTGCACAAAAAAGTCAACTTGATTTAAGGGTATAAGTAAGGCAAATCACAGTTCAATTTTCAGGATAATCGGACAGACTGCTCCTCCAAGTAACACTGGTCAAGTTTACAGTAAGGTTTAAGTCATTTCAGTATCCCTCGGTCTACCAGACTTCACTTGTCTCCAAAGCCTGTGTACTATGTGGTGTCATGGAAATAATTATAGCTATATGCAGAGGAAAAATAAATTAGATTTAGTGTTTTTCCACTGTTGCATTACAATTTGTCATTAGTTTTGTGCTATTCAGAAACTCAGCCAAGTTTTTTTTATATAAGCCCAGTATTATACTCCAGGCTTCAGTCTTCTAAAATTCTAAAAGGAATGCTTTCCAATTGTTTTTTAAAAAAATACAGCACAAATTATGCCATTTAAGGGAATCTGTCACATAATTATATAATCAGTTCCTGAGTTACAAATGAATTTCTTCTCGTATACAAACTGACTTACAAACATACTCAAGTCAGAACACAATACAGTATAATATAACAAACAGAGAAATTGCTGGAAAAGCTCAGCAGGTCCGACAGCATCTGTGGAGACAAGGCAGAGGTAGCATTTTGGGTTAAGCGGCCTTTCCTCAGAACATAACATAATACAAACATTTGTTTATTCTTATGGCTGTTATGTATGTTGGATCTTTGAAATATAATATAAAAACATCCCAAGACACAATAATGCAGCATTATAAAACAAGATGGAAGAGATGGAAGAGTGCGAGAGTGTTCCAGAAGCCAAGGTAACTGAAGAGAAAGCAAGTGATGGGGCACACTGTCCTAGTTGCCCTTGAGGTGAGCTGCCTTCTTGAACTACTGCAGTTCGTTTGCTGTTGATACACCCATAATGCTACTTTGAAGGGCGTTCTAGGATTGTGACCCAGTGACATGGAACAGCAATACACTTCCAGGTCAGGATGGTGGGCACCTTAACTCTATAAGAAATAGAAGCAGAAGTAGGCCATTCAAACCATCACATCTGCTACACCATTCAATAAGATCATGGCTGATCTAATAAGCCTCAACTACACATTCCTGTCTTTTCTCCAAAACCATTATTCCCTTACCAATAACAAAAAAAATCTGTCTACCTCAGTCTTGAATATACATAACAATCAAACCAAATAGCAAAGAATTCCACAGATTCACCACCATTTGGGAGACAAAATTCCTCATTTCAATCTCCCTTTTATTCTGAGATTATTGCCCTTTAGTCCTAAATCCCTCAACTGCAAACAACCTTTCCATATCTAACTTGTTGGGTCCCCTAAAAAAAAAGTCTTATATGCATCAATAAAGTCACCTCTCATTCGTCTAAACTTCAATCTATTCAACCTCTGTTCATAAGAGGGTCAGGGGGGAGTAATAAGGACAGGAGCTCAGTGGATCTCAGATTGGAATGTCAGTCAGCTTGTTATTTCTAAACACCTGCACTGATAATGACAACACCTTCCATCATTTTAATAATATCAAGAGTAAACTGATGAGATGGTAATTGACGAGGTTCAATTTGTTCTGTTTTCTTTTTGTACAGGATGTACCTGGGCAGTTTTACACACTGTCAGATAGATGCCAGGTGTTGCAGCTGTACTGGAAAGCTTGGCTGAGGAGCACAAGTCTTCAATACTATTGCTCGAATGTTGTCAGGGTCCAAAGCCTATGCAGCATGCAGTGCCTTCAACAGTTTCTTGATATCATACATAGAGATCCAATTTGGCTGAGGACAGGTACCGGTGATGCTGGGACCTGTGCAAGGAGGCCCAGATGGACAGCCCCACTTTGATGACATTGCTAGCTCAGCCTTTGGCCAACTGAGGAAAAAGTTCTCAAGCCCAAGACAAATGTCATAGTTTGCCAGGCATTAAATGATCCCTGTGCTGTTACATGCTTACATATAAGAGACTCAGAGACTTGGATGCCTGGAGCAAATACTTTAAAACAGTGGACAAGTACAAGTCTTCACAAGATCCTCCAAATCCTGAGACTAGAAAGCTGGCCCAATAGCAGAGTCTTTTAACAAGTCAACATGTCCAGCGCCAAAGTACTAATCACTCAAGACCAACTCCGCAGGTCATTCATACGCCTGACAGCAAACTCTCAAAGCAACCATTCTAATCAGAACTCATTTGCAGCAGAACATTTCCAAGAGGAGAGCAGGGACATTTTTGGAGAACACTGAAAAGGTCAAACATTCGCTCCAACTACTGGGAATCCTTGGACTGTGACACCCAAAATGAAAAAGGCTCATTCAGGAAAGCACCAAATACAGACTTGACCAGGAGCACATCAATGATAAAATCTAGACAGAGCGCAGACAAATCTCCAAACATCTCATCTGCTTGACTCTAAGTACTACCTGCTTCACACGCGGCACAATTTGCTGATCTTGCATTGGACTTAGCAGCCATCTGCCTCCCCATCAAAACTGAATGGAAGCGAATCAATATTGATCCCAAGTGACTTGTCTTAGGACAAGACTTGTGCATAACAAAGTACAAAAGAGAAGCAAATAGGGAAATTAACCTCTTCACTAACTATTACAGAAAATCAATTTAGATGAGCTGGGTATAAAATAAAATTGAAGGCAACTAAAAGGTATTTTTCACATTGTAGAAAATTACAATGATATCCGAGCCATGTAGTAAATATCATCTACAGGCTGTATGTCAGTAATTCAACAAAATTATTTTGATAACATCTTCCTGTGTCATCAAAAGAAAAAAGGAGAACCATAAATGCCAAGGAAACTTCATTATATCCATGCCGCATGCTATCCTGACTTGACCATATAATTAGCATGGACAAAAACAAAGTTGCTGGAAAAGCTCAGCAGGTGTGGCAGCATCCATGAAGGAGAAAACAGAGTTAAAGTTTCGGGTCCAGTGACCCTTCCTCAG